GGGGGGGGGTGCATTGCAGAACCTGGCCTTGTGGCGGCAGGGAGAGTAAATCTGGCCCTTCCCCCGATATGTCTTTCACAGGGATGCACTTTCTTAAGGCCAACAGGCTGTTCCCTTTGCATAGGAATTTGCAGGGGGAGTTGCCCCTTAGCTTAGCGAACGAGGCGCTTGCAAAAATTATCCAATCACGCGCAAGGAAAATAGAAGAAACAGTAAAGTTGCTCGCACACGATTGGCTGATGGAAGTCAGCAGAGCTTCGCCTCATTCACTGAGGTATGGGGAGACTTCCCCTGCAAAGTGAAGTTCCTCTTTGCCTTCAGTAGGTCCGCCTCCCCCTCCCCCCCGTAGGTCTCACTCACCATCTTTATAATTGGGGTGACACATCTGCAGCTCCTTGCAGGTCCTCGCCGGGCTCTCTTTGGTCCCCGCAGGCCACCTCATCTGTTCGATCTCCGTCTTCAGGGACCCGAGCGTGGCGTAGATCTCCTCCATCCCGTCAGCCATGTAATCGATGTCTGCGTCGTCGCCCTGCAGACTCTCCGAGTGCCGCCGCCTTTTCCTGGTCGTGTCGTATGCTTCATAGGGGAGAGGCTGCACGGCTTGTGCTGGGCGACCCTGCAATCAGATCAACAAGGCTTTGCATCACGGTCTGGGTGAATGTTCTGGGTGAATGTTCTGGGTGAATGTTCTGGGTGAATGTGACAGCTGCTTCTGTGAACAAAGATTGGCTAAGAGAAATTTCCTTAATAATTTTTCAGGGTTTAAATGTGACCTCCGTCCTCCCCTTTAGTCTTCTATCTGACCTCCGTCCTCCCCTTCAGTCTTGCACACTTGTACTAGCTCCTCTTCTGGGCTAAAAGCCCGCCTCCTATCCTGGCTGATGGACATCCAGCATCAACTAGGCCTTTCCTCCCCAGCCTGACTGTGCCTGGCCCCACCCCTTTAACGCAATGGATTTGAGTTCTTTCAGTCACAGAGGCTCAGCCTCACACGTGGGCGTTACCTGGGGTGGTCGGCATGCAATTGCAATCTGCCCAGGAACACCCATTGCTCCTCCAGACTTTTTGATATTTGCATAACTCCTCCCACTGCATGCATCAGGGCTGAGTACTGAGGCAGGGTGCTGTGTTTTCAGCCCCTCCCACCAGCCATGATCTGTCTGCATTGCAGAGAGAGGCACGTGAACCTAGTGATGATGTCACCGGGTCTGAAATAGGGTGTGTAATGACAATAGAAAGATTGTATTCACAAATGTAATTAGCATATTGATGAGTTGG